GTTACAAGCTGGGGACCAACCAGTTAAGTAGTAGTTCTGCAGAAAAGACCTGGGGGTTACAGTGGATGAGAAGCTGGATATGAGTCAACAGTGTGCCCTTGTAGCCAAGAAGGCTAATGGCATATTAGGTTGCATTAAGAGGAGCATTGCCAGCAGATCCAGGGTTGTCATTATTCCCCTTTATTCGGCTTTGGTGAGGCCACATCTGGAGTATTGTGTCCAGTTCTAAGCCCCCTCTCTCCTCCCAAAAAAGGATGTGGACGCATTGGAGAGGGTCCAGCGGAGGGCAACCAAAATGATTAGGGGGCTGGAGCATATGACTTATGAGGAGAGGCTGAGGGAGTTGGGTCTGTTTAGTCTACAGAAGTGAAGAGTGAGGGGGTATTTGATAGCTGCCTTCAACTTCCTGAAGGGAGGTTCCAAAGAGGATGGAGAGGGGCTGTTCTCAGTAGTGACAGATGACAGAACAAGGAGCAATGATCTCAAGTTGTGGTGGGAGAGGTCCAGGTTGGATATTAGGAAAAACTATTTCACTAGGAGGGTAGTAAAGCACTGGAATGGGTAACCTAGGGAAGTAGAGGAGTCTCCATCCCTAGAGATGTTTAAGTCTCGGCTTGACAAAGCCCTGGCCGGGATGATTTAGTTGGGATTGGTCTTGCCTAGAGCAGGGAGCTGGACTTGATGACCTTCTGAAGTCTCTTCCAGCTCTGTGGTTCTATGATTCTATGAAATTGCTCTCACCTGAAGTGGGAGAGCCAATTCCAGACTCAGTCTTCTGTACAGAAATGAATGATACCCTCTGAGCCATAATCTCCCTCTCTCGCTCGCTTTTTTTTTTAAGAAGTGTCCATCTGCAAGTCCATTTGTTACTAAACAGTAACAGCTAGGACCACCAAATTTGTTATGCAGCCTTCTCCTATCCTAACTTAAAGCAAGGTCAGGGTTTGTTTGAGCAAGGATAATGGGATGTTCCTGGAATTCATTTGTTTTCCAAAACATGGAGGGTCTGATTGGAGGGACACAACACTGCACAGTCACCACTGGGAGCAGCGAGCACAGGGGACAGTTGTGCTGCACAGTGACCACTGGGGGGCAGTCGCACCAGGAGGGAGGGAATAACTGGGCGTGGGGCTTGCCATCTTGTCCACTAGCCCGGGTGAGTGCCCCCCCTCTGCCATAGACCCTTCCTCCTTAGCTCCGTTGATGGACCAGGAGCAGAGGGGAACCACTGGTGTCCCCCTGGAGCAATGCAGCTCAAGCCTGCTCCCCTCAACACCACTGGGCTGCCCAACATGGCCGTGCCATCAGGCCTGTGTGGCTCCTTCTTCCCCAGGCAAGCATGGGGAGTGCCACCGGGAGGCTTCTCTCCCTCTCTACACCCTCTCCACCCTCCCTTTTCCACTTCATTTAAATCAAATGTATAGAAAATGCAAAGCATTAATTCAAATAGAATCCAAAGTGTTGAATAATGTGTAACATAAAGCTTCCAGTACATAGAATGGGGGGAAAAATCTGCCTCACCTTTCACAACTCTGCCGTCACCACCATTGTCAATTGGCCTTCATTTTCTGCAAGCCCTTATTTAGATTGTGCTTTTTCCACTTCATTTAAATCAAATGTATAGAAAATGCAAAGCATTAATTCAAATAGAATCCAAAGTGTTGAATAATGTGTAACATAAAGCTTCCAGTACATAGAATGGGGGGAAAAATCTGCCTCACCTTTCACAACTCTGCCGTCACCACCATTGTCAATTGGCCTTCATTTTCTGCAAGCCCTTATTTAGATTGTGCTCTCTTTGGGGCATGGGACCTATCGTGTTTGATTTTTGTAAAGCTCCACGCAGGATGCATCAGCTGAATCTGGGAGAAATCTGGCTAACAGATTGCATTTAACAAACCAGATAAGACTTAAACTTGTTACTCAGGAATGTGTATGACTCTCAAAAAAAATCAGTTTTACCATGATTTATTTAAAAATGTAATTATAATACTTCTGTGTTGCAATCACAACTGAGAAGAGAGAGTATTATAATGATGGGTTAAATTACTTGATCCATGAGAACTGAAGAGATTGTGATTTGACGAAGCTCACCAAGTGAGCCAATGACATCTGTGATTGGTAGGAACTTGGATTTTGTAACTTACAGCACTCTGTGGTTTGTCCAATAGACCACAAGTGCCATCCTAGTTGTCGCTTTTTCTGGGCAAAACTAACTTTTTTGTATCCCTGCAACATGAGGTGGGGAGGGGTATGTATGTTATGAATCAACTTTAGTTTGTTAGGGCTACTATTATGGCTCTCTACCTGAAAATAATGGGGTTCTTTAAGGTCCATTTAAAACTATTTTAATAACTGATTCCCCTCCCCTAGAC